TCAACCCTTTGGCATCTGAAATTTATTTTCTAAATTTCTAAAGAGACTCATGTTAGTTAAAATTAAATAAATAAAATATTAATAGCTCTACGAACATTACTCTAGAATTATCTATCCTGACTGATTTTTGATCATAAATGAATGCCTTTGGTTTATTCATTTCAATTCTAATTTCATTGGAATTTTTTATTTCTGCAGGTTTTTGAAAATGAATGAATGCCTTCTGCTTATTCTTTTTAGCACTATTTCCTAAATAACCGTGCAAAACAAACTAACTATTATTATTTTTTTTAACCAGGACAAGTTCATATCTTGTTTACCCATTATTGCTGATTTTTGATAATAATTGAATGCATTTTGTTCATTTATTTCAATTTCAATTTCATTGGAATTTTCTATTTCTGCAGGTTTTTGAAAATGAATGAATGCCTTCTGCTTATCCTTTTCAGTACCGTTTCCTAAATAATCATGCAAAACAAACTAACTATAATTATTTTTTTTAACCAGATAAAGTTCATATCTTGCTTACCTATTATTGCTAATTTTTGATAATAATTAAATGCATTTTGTTCGTTTATTTCAACTTCAATTCTATTGAAACTTCCATTTTAGCAAATTTTTAATAAATGAATACATTTTGTTCGTCACTTCTGACTCCATTTTCTAAATAGATACCAAAGTAAATAAATTATTATTGCACTAAATTGTGTTTTGGCCAAACTATTAGTTAAAATAAAAGATGACCATTTTCTATGAAAAATATTCAGGATACAAGTGCAGAATAAATAGTTTTTACCCTCAATATCTTGATGATCGTTTCCACTATTGAAATATATGATATCTATTTTATGAATATAAGTTAGTAACTGTAAATAGTTCATAAAGTTACAATTTACCCTCCATTAACATATCTTTGATTATACTATTACTTGTAGAAACTAAAGTTTACTACAAGCAATCAATTTTATTTATTTTTTTTTTTATTAGCTATTTATTCGAATGTAACATACCTTGTATCTTAGGAATTGGAATTGTCCAATCAGATATGAGTTTTGTATATGCTGAAACTATTGGCTTTGGATGAGTAATCGGGAAATTAGATAATTTGTCTATTTCTGCTGGTGAAAAATTTTTCCATGACCCTATGTTAGGCAGTCCTTTAGCACGAATAAACTTAGCTAATTCACTTTCTACTAGCTATTCCCAGCAATAAAATCTTGAAATCTCTGCTATAGTTTTAACTTTTACTTTTTTTTTATTAGTTTTTTTTTTTTTATTTAAATCAACGTCTTCAATTTCAGATCTACTATTTCTATCGTTACGATTTATTGTGATTTGTGCTAGTGATGTTCTAGCTAACCCTTTTGTCACCTCGACTATATCTTTACCTTCAACTAAGTCAAATCCAATTTGAACATACCATTTAATACTATGACTGATCTAATATATTATCAAAGCATTAAATTGTTAGCATCTTATCATTGTCAAAAAGTTAACTTATGAACAGTATTGTGAAAGTTACTATGTTTAATTGTTTCTAAAATTATTGGACATGCGTTCAATAATTTTGAAACAATTTGACATAGTAACCTTCGCAACACTGCTTATGAAAATTCAACATTACATTTATATGATGAGAATCAACAGTTGTTTTGGCTTCTCCTGGCTCCAAAAACAACTATCTTTTGACCTTAATAGAATACCATGTATGCTAATATGCTATGATAGTCATCAACTCTGAGTTATGGTAATATATACCATTATCAGAAATTATAGTTATCCACTTTGGTTTTGGATTCAGTGATTCAAATACTGCTTCAAACAAAGAAGTAGTGAACTAAGTATCTTGTTTTGTGTCAGTAGACCAATGGTTGAATGTCTGAACATCTAATACATCTTTATCTTCGATTTTTCTAAAAACTAAAATAATATGCAAAGTCTAACCTCTTTTACAATAAAAATCCTTTTTAGTTTTACAAGCAGATTTCGAGAGAATTCTCATTTTATAGTCAGCTACAACTAGAGCTCCATTGAAATTCAACTGAGCTAAAGTTGCCTTGAATTGAGCATTAAGATAAACTTTTTGTGCTTAGTGATCTAAGTAATGTTTTAACTGATCTTGAACTTCATGTAATTGTGCTATATAATCGTTAGTTGTATGATTCTCTAGTTGATCAAAAAATTCGTAAAAATTTTCACACTTAGAGCATCTTAAAACATGTAAGGCTGAGTACTCTCTGAAAGCATATGGAAGGCAATGATCAATACAAGAGTCATATAAAATTGTTCCAGCTAGTAAGATCATTAATTCTCGTTCAAATTCTCGCTTAAAATAGTGTCTCAAATGTTTAATTCGTGAAAGTATTTGGTTCTAATAAAATATAAATAGAAATACATTCTAATAACAGTAAAAATATTCTACTATAAAAAAAATATTCTAGCTAGGAAAAAAAGAAGGTATCCTAACTAAACAAAAAAAAACGTTCTAATTATACAAAAAAAAAAAAAACTTTTTTTTTAAAAAAAAAAAGGGAACCTAAT